ATCACTCATTTTTATATTTTTTAATCCTTAAAAAAATAGTATGCTGGCTGAGTGTGTGTTAATGACTCCCTTATCCATCTGTCATTGGTTGTATGAGACAGAATAGTGCGCAATGCTGTGCTACCCTCTGAACTGATAAGTCTGTATTTAGTGCCTTCGAATGCAATGGTAAAACTTTACTCAAATAAGGAATGATTGGAAACTGGTTCAGATAATTTAAGTGCTATCTTAGAATAGCTTGTACTAAATTTAAGGTCATATTTATCAGTTTTAGATTTCCTTTCATCAGTGACATCAAAGCTGTTTGAAGGGGATTTTGTCCTCAATCAAATTTAACAGTGTTTTAAGTTTTTATACTTACATATCTATAAGAAAACTTCTAGTTCCAATGATAGTGATCCCCAACTACCCTACGAGTGACTTTTATTGCCGAATGACAGGCTCAGGTTTTGACATTGCCACCAAAGGCAATGAAAAGTTTTCAAAAACATGATGGTTTCAAAACCCATCCATGTAGAGCTCACCAGAGGATGCATTTTATACCCTGAAGGCCATAGACTGTATCCTCTAGCTCAGTGGAGAAACCGTCTACACAGACTCATACACAGTCTCTACCTTGCATGGCATGGAGAGGAGTCAAAACTCTGTCCATACTTTTCCCTGGTTTATGTTAAATACATGAGCAAAGAGCAGAGACTGTTCCCTATTCCATGCTGCCAAGCAGTCTGATAAGGCCATTCAAAGTATATACATATGTGTATATTAAAAAAACAAAGTTGTCAGTCAGTGATGGGATATGTTGAAAGGTAATTATCTTAAATATATTTTCCTCTCATATGAACTTTTTTTTTAAAGAGCATATTGTGGCATTCCTATCTCCAAATAACTGTGAATAATCACATTAAGATATAAATGATCAAGGAACAGTGTATATGTGAGACATAATGAATTTATTAGAACTGTACAAGTGTACATATTTTAGTGTAATTCAAGCCACTCATTCAATTCAGTCTGTTACCCATTATGTAAAAAAGAAAAGATGTAAACCATTCAAAGCATGATGCTTGTAAATTGGACACATATTTCTGGCAAAAGAACAAAAAGAGTAAGTAAGTGTTCTAACAATCGTTAATGTTATGGGATCTGATTCAGAAAATGAGGTTTGATTCTTAATGGCTTCAACAATAAATGACTATAGCAAATCAACTGATTTGGAGAACAGATGTCAAATATTTAAACACATTTATACTTTTGAATGAACCTAAGGACAAAAATATATTTTTAAAATTCCTATTAAATGATTTTTGAAATTAATATGAATTTATTTTTCCTCTTTTCTCTACACGCCACCTCGCTTTTATTCTTTTCAATACTGAAAAACTTGGATATATATTTCTATATTTTCCCACACATAAAAAATACAGTATCCCGGGAGAATAACTTCCTAAAGAGGTATTAGTCTGTCTAGTCTCTATGTAAAGTAGTGAGGAATTCCTCCTGTATCTAGGTGCAGTCAAAATATCTACTTTCACCATGATATCCCTTCTATTTTATGTTCTGTTCCCATGTTTATTCTGGCCTAGTGAAACTCTTCCAGAAAAACAGACAATAGAGATAGGAGAGCATCATTACATCTTTAGCAAGCTCTCTGTCTAGTTGAAGTACTCACAAGACTGGGGAAGTAAGAGATGTTGAGCTGACAAGGTATACTCAAAATTATGTTGGTCTTTAAAACATATAGGGATGTCTTAGTTTGTAAATACGAAATGTGTTCTTTTTGCAGGCAACTTGCTGCTGATAGCATTTGTGAGTTACTTTGGAGCAAAGCTTCACAGACCAAGAATGATTGCTTTGGGCTGCACAGTTTTGTCATTTGGCTGTCTTTTAATATCACTTCCACATTTCCTAATGGGACGGTGAGTATTTTGTTTAGCTCACAGTAGTTTCTGTGACTCCTACCTGCCTTAATTGAGAACTTCTCCCACTGAAGCCAGATTGCTTATTGAGAAAAGTATGGGGTGTGGAATAAGTTTAGAGCATCTCCTTTCATTTTGCTTCTGAGGGGGCTTCAAAAGTCAGTAGTCATTTCCTGAGGAGTCACCCCTCTTCTGGGTAGCTGGCATCCCCTGCCCTTTCCTCTCCCTCTTTTTGAGAAAAGAAGATACTTTGGGGTTTTAATCTTGCTTTGCCCAGTGTGGTATTTTTCTGAGTGGCACCCTCCACTCAAGGTGTAATTGCGTTAAAGTATATGAAGAACAAGAGAGAAGATAATATGTGTTCCTTTTTAGGGTGTTTCATCATCTTTCAAAGCATCTGTTACAAGGTTATGTTAGAGACAAGATGCCAGTTTGGATATAACATTGCCTTCATTTCTTCTCCTAGTTCTTTTGGTCCTACCTCACTTTATTACTAAGGCTCAGCTGTAGCTATATAATCTCCTTCTAGACAGTTTCATCACTGAAGGACAAATTTCTAATGTATTCTTAATTTGTAAATCCTGTATTTTGATTTGAACAGATACCAGATTGAAAGCAGCATTTCACCATCTGAGAATTCTTCAGTCATGCCCTTGTACTTTCTTAATCAGAGCTCTTCACCTACAGAGGAACCATTAGAAGGTATGCCTCTTCTGATATCTGCTATTCCTTTCTGCTTAGTTGTTTTATAGTGTATAAGTAAACAGGATTTTTTTGATTAAAACTGTTTTTCAAGGCTGGAATTTGGACTAGTAACATTCCACTCATTCCACATTGTTTGGAGAAATCAAAAAACATGCTCTTTCAGAAATCTTCATCTTTATGACTTGAAATACCATAGCACTATGAGGAAATGGGAAACCATGGTTTGAAAGTTGGATAAATGACATCAAGATTCTTTTTTGTTGTATCACACATGAAAGAGAAGAATGAGAAATTAAGGCAGAACAGAGGTGTAGTCCCTGCTTTCTTTTACAGAAAAGAGGAAACATTAATGATTTTGAAGTCAAAAGAGTGAGAGACAATGATTAAATAGTAACACATAAAACTCACTGTATGGAGTAATCTCTTGGGTCTTGAGCTACCTCAAAGAGAAGATTTTAAACTGAACTCTATGGAGTCCCTTAAGAGAAAGTGGAAGGAGACTACAGAGAACTTGCAGAGTGTGTCCCTTGCTATAGGCCTGTTCATGCTCTTTGTTGTAGGTCAGGGCAGATTACCTCATAGATGTCCCTATGGACTGTTGGAAACTTGGATGATCAGATAAGATGAATACCACAATTAATTTTTATACTCTATGATGATATTCCTCACCTGGAGTACTATGTGTGGTTCTGGGCTCCTCAGCCCAAGAGGGACGGGGAACTCCTAGAGAGGGTCCAGCGTAGAGCAACAAAAATGTTTAAGGGACCAGAACATATATCGTATGAGGAAAGACTAAGTGAGCTGGGTCTGTTTAGCCTGGAGAAGATTGAGAGGGGATCTTATCAATATGTACAAATACCTGAGGGGAGAATGTAAAGAGCATGAGGCCAAACTCTTCTCGGTGGTGGCCGGTGACAGGACAAGGGGTAATGGGTATAAATTAAAACACAGGAAGTTCCACCTCCATGTGAGGAAGAACTTATTTATTGTGAGGATGATGGAGCACTGCAACAGGCTGCCCAGAGAGGCTGTGGAGTCTCCTTCTCTGGAGATCTTCCAAACCCACCTGGATGCTACCCTGTGCCCCGTGCTCTGGGTAACCCTGCTTGAGCATGACATCAAAACCAAATGTCATTACACTGTAATTTCCTGTGTCTATGTTTAATAAAAAACACGGTTTCCAAGATTTCTGTGACTGTACATTGGTTTAGGAGGTATTTTTCCCAAATTCAGAAGGAACGATTAGGAAGAACACGGGCTTAATAGCACTTCTTATTAATCTTTCATTTAAAGATTTCAGATACTGTTTTTTTTTCCCCACTTACCTGTAAAAAAGATTTACAGACAGGTAGTTTTCCTTAAATTAAACAGTCATCTGATGACCATGTAGGCAATAGAACCCAGAAATTCTCTTTCCTATATCTTTGTTGGAGCAAGTTAACTGTTCTTAACCCTATTAGCTTACAGTGACATTTTTGTCACACTTGTGAGCCCATCATCCCTGTTATGTGGAAAGTTATTTGAATTAGGCTACATTTACATTTGGATTGTTTCACCTGGGTTTGCTGTCAGGAATCTGACATTGATGCAGTCAACCTGAGCCTGATCTCTGAATAGTAATATTTTCAATTAGAGAGTGATCATAAACTTACTAACCTGTCATCCAGGAAGTTGAAACTTTCTCTGAGACATTTTAGAAAAATCTGAAATGAAATACAATCTTCTGAAAAGCAAGATTTTTTTGAAGTAAACTTTTCCCATTAAAATTGTTTGATTCTAACAAATTTTTCTGTTAAGAAAATCAAAACAAAATGTTTCATTTCAGCATCCAAAAACAAGTTCCATGAGAGACTGCAGTGCCTTGGCTATAGCAAATTGACAAATGCAGGAACATGTTGCCAGTTAGCAGGAAAATCTTGTAAAAGGAGCTGCTTTCTAGGTGAAAACTAGATGATTCAGCATTTCTGTTTGATTTGAAATGGAATTGCATGGCATAATATAGGTGTTGATAATATTGATAAAAAGGGCAGTTTTAACTAGCTCTCACTGTCAGCAAATATGAATTATGAGTGCTATTCCAAGGATTTACTTGCATCATATCAAGCGTCAGGAGGTCCAGAAGGTTCTCAGGTAGGTCAGCGTCAGTCTTGAAGCAGAAGGAGGTGTTAGAAGGAGCTTGAAGCAGAAGGAGATGTTAGAAGGAGCATCATCTACAAGCCAGGAGGATCTCTGGTGCACAGATGTTCCAGGGCTCCCTTGTATCCACTGTCATCAATAAAATGATAGTTCCCCTGGTGGCAATGCATAGAGAGAAGAAGCTAAGTTATAGAGTGATCAGCACTGCCAGCTGGTTGGGGATGGTGTGGTGTGGGCATGACAGCATTTTAAACTCTGTTCCAGCGAAAGCTGAAGCTTCCTCCACTTCTGAAGCCTTTTGAGCACCACGACCACTTATTTTCCTGTTTTACCAATGAAAGCTTAACCTGTTGGTTAATTCTTCCCCATCACCTCTAAAATGCAATTAATAGTTAACATGAATACATTAATTCTGGCTTCTTATCTTATTCACAGATTGTGAAAAAGAGCCTGGATCCATGCTGTGGATATTTGTGATGATTGGAAACATAATACGAGGAATGGGTGAAACTCCCATCATGCCTTTAGGCATTTCATATTTGGAGGATTTTGCCAAAGCAGAGAATTCACCTTTCTACTTGGGTAAATCTATATGTACTCCAGCTGATTGTGCTCACTCCATTCCTAAAATAAACATGCAAAGAAGGAAAATCAAAGGGGATTTCTTATGACTCCACTAGTCAAATAGAGAAAATTAAATGAAGGATTTGGCTGCCTTATCTAAATGATAATACTGTAGAGCTTGTAATTTAAATATTTGTTAGTAGTTTGTTAACACGTGCCATGTTTTAGGCCTAGTTATCTATTTAGTAGAGTTGTTGTAAACATCTATAATACTTGCAAGAAAATAATTATGTGTAGGCTCTGATTTTGTATGTTTTCACCTTTTCATATGTCAGGATGCCTACAAACAGCAACTGTGATTGGACCATTCCTTGGTTTCTTGTTGGGATCATTCTGTGCAAAACTGTTTGTGGATGTGGGATCAGTAAATGCAGGTAATGGATGAATATATAAAAACTTCCATATGCATTAGTAGGCATGAGTCGTGTCAGCCAGTTCTCAGCCCTAGTAGACCTTTCTGATCTTTATCTGAGCTTGCTAGTGTTTCTTTTAGAATGGAAAATCTGTATGCATTATTCATAAAAGGCCTTAGCCCATACTTGAGGAAATAAATCTGCATATAAGTTATCTGATGAATTGTCGAATCATGTGACTTAACATAAAAAAAAACACAATTAATTTAATATGAAGCATTCAAATTTGCCAGAAGAAAATTAGCAGCTTAGGAAAAGAAGACTGGAGACAATTGATTATCTTTCATCAGTCTCATTTGAAGACCTTTAAAATATTTTTAATGTTACATATGTCTGAGATGACTTGGAAAAAAATAAGAGCAAAAAAAATTATGAGCTAATATGAGATGTGTATTTTTTTTTCTTTTCTTTTTAGAGGACATAACTATAACAGTTACGGATGCCCGCTGGGTTGGTGCATGGTGGCTGGGCATTTTGATTTGTGCCTCACTGAATCTCCTCGCAGGAATACCCTTTTGGTTTTTGCCCAAGACCCTTGTGAAGGAAGGAGAAACCAATGAACCTGAGGAGGTCCGTAAAAAAAGTGTAATACTATTGCAAGAAAATGAAGCAGAGCATGCCAAGCACAGCAAGCATGGAATTGCTAAAGGCAAGTTGTTTTGTGTCTTACTTCCACCTTAGTTTTAACCTTGACAGGTAGACAATGTCTGCTCATTTTTGTATGTAAATATGGGTCACAGATGACAGCTGCATACATCTGTTTTTCAGGTCTCTGTAGTACAAAGGATTTGTACAGGGATTCGAATGGCTTTTACCAAAGTAGAAAACTAATTTCATCCATTCAAGTCCTACATTCACTCGTTTTCCCCCCCTCCCACGTTTCAGGTGTATGTAGATATGGAACTTCTTCTTTTTTTGTTAACTTTCCAGGGGTTTAATACATTGAAATCTCATTAAGAATGTTACACTTCAGTAAGCTATGAACAAATTGAAAATACCAGTTACACATGTCCCTAAACTCACTGTGCCAAAAACTGGCACAAGTCTTATGCACTTCTGGAGTCCAGCTTAAGGACACAAGAGGAAAATGACAGATGCTTAAGTGTCTCTGAAACACCTAATAACTCATTGAAGAAGGATCTATCTATCTGGCTTATAACAACTGAAGCTACCAATGGCAACATTCACATCTGTGTGCTTTCTGACCTGTATATCTACAGACAGCTATTTTTCCCCTCTAATTTTTGCACTAGTTAAAAACATAAATGGACAAAATATGTCAAAAGTGATGACCTTCAGAGTAGCCTCATGATTCTGGACACCCAGCTCCAGTACGAGCTACTTCTTCATGGTGTTTTCAGGCTAAGTCCTGCATATTCACTGTACTTTGAGGAAACAGATCTTGGCCTGAGATGCAAAAAGGAAAGCTAAGGCGCAGTTGGAACGCAATCTGGCAAGGGACGTTAAAAATAACAAGAAAAATTTCTTCAAATACATTAACAGCAAAAGGAAGATCAGGGAAAACGTGGGTCCGCTGGTGGACGGGATGAGCACCCTGGTTACAAATAACACAGAAAAAGCAGAGTTGCTGAATGCCTTCTTTGCTTCGGTGTTTACCAAGGGCAGCCCATTAGAGCCCCAGGCCCTAGGGACAAGAGAAGAAGCCGGTGGAGAGGAAGACTTGCC